CCATTCGTACTCAGTCATCTCTGAGTACCTACTAAATATACATAAAGATCTGTAGAACAGACTTCCTTCTAACATACAAGGTAGTCCTTCCTTCAAGAAAAGGTTAAAGCCTTACTTTTTATTTAATAATACATAACAATATACTATGCACTTACTATTATATGTATTGTATATATATATATATTATTATATAATACTTATTCATAACTTATATATATATATATATATATATATATATATATATATATATATATATATATATTCTAATCTAATCATTTCTTCTCTCACTGGTCTGAGTTGGCTGGAAGAGATCTGTTTTAGAGACAGGCCTTACCCTTTCTAACAAGTTGCTAAACTAATAGCTGTATCTTTGTTTTCAAGTTTAATAAAGAATATAACAATAATATATAATTCGAGCCGGTGTCCACAATTGAACGTGTTTGCCTCCAACTTGCTGGAGTTTCGTCGGATGACTACAAAATGTTTGTGATAAGATATAGAATTTGTGTTTAAGATATAGATAGATTAGATTTACCCGAGGGAGACTTTGTACAAAAGTCGTTTGCTTGGGTACCTCTGTTCTATTCGTGTTTCTACCGCGAAGCAGTTGTGTTTCGGTTTGAAGGGTGGGATATGGCAGTGAATTTACAAGGTACAGAGGAATAACACCTTAGTCCTCAGGAATGAGGACGCATTGGGGGTATCATGGGCGAAACGGTATTGTTCATGTCTTTAGGCGACGATTACCATTTTCCATCAGGTGAGCCATCGGATCATTTGCGATTTTATTTTACATCAAAAAAAATATGACCAAGTTTACTTAATTTATATATATTAATTGTTTATTTACACGGAACCCTGTAACATTCAAAGCATATTCTCAATTTGTATTACTATAATTCAGCAATATTATGAGTTTTGCGCACCTCAGTATAATTCGTAAAAACCAACTAATTCCGATGACTTATTGTTGGCTGTGCATGAAAATTTAAGTTTGTTGATTTATAAATCCATATTCATTAAAATTAATGTTTTTGTGTGTGTTTCTAAATTATTGAACTATTGTAAGAAAATATTGATAAGTTAATTATTATTTTAATTAGTTAACGAAATTATGAGTTTACTAATAAGGTGATACCACAAAGAATATTTCATTTCGAGTTTCTCTCATCTCCTTTCTAGTAGCCTATTTTACTACCTACTTGCATCTTATGGCACCCTAGTATTGAAAGAGAGTAACCATACGTATAACTGACGGATACCACTTTCCATCAGGCAGGCCGTCTGCATGTTTTCCATTCTAAATATCGTAAAAAAAGTGATATATTGTATTAATATTATCTTAACCTGAGTCCTCAGGAATGGCAACGCATGGGAAGTATCATGGGCGAAACAGTATACTCTGTTATGTCCATGGTACTGCTCATGTCTAAAGGCGACGGTTACCACTTTCCATCAGGTGAGCCGTCAGCTTGTTTGCCATTCTAAGTAGTATAAAAAAAATAATTACAAGCAAACGGCAAGGGTGTGGAGTCCTCAAATCGAACGGAGTTTCCGTTCCGTTTACAAAACACTGTACTACACGCGGAACCTCCGTTTGATTTGAGGAGCCCACACCCTTGCCGTCTCCTTGTTAGTATATTTACTACCTACTCGTATCTTATGGTATCCTGGTATTGAAAGGGAGTAACCATACGTATAAGAGGTACCATGAGCAATCATCATTCTATGTTGTCTATAGTTTTGTTCATGTCCACCGACAGCTATCACTTTCCTTCAGGCGGGCCGTCTGCTTGTTTGTAAAAAGAGATACATTGTAATGTACAATGCACCAAATACCATACCCAGCAATAGAAAATACTTGCCCCGAGCCCGAGCTAGAAATAAACCAAAAAAGACAGATTGGATTATAAATAAATATCAGTCAAGGTGATCAGGGACAGTGGGTATATCGGGTCTGGCGGTTGCCAACACTGTCGCCAGGTGACAGTGGCAATGTTTGTTGCCAATATTGCTTGTCTATCGACAAAAATAAAAGAATCAATACATACTAAGCATACCGGTAATAGCTTAATTTTTTTTTTACAACACAGGGGGCAAACGAGCATACGGCTCACCTGATGGTAAGTGACTACCGCCGCCCATGACCACCCACAACACCAACGGCAATGCAGGTGTGCTGCCGGCCTTTTAAAAGGGAATATGCTCTTTTCTTGAAGGCTATGTTTTCGTATCGGTTCGGAAATACTGCTGCTGGAAGTTGATTCCAAAGAGTGGTTGTGCGTGGAAGAAAGTGCCTTGAAAAACGCACGGTGGAGGACCGCCACTCGTCCAGATGGTTGGGATAAAACAAATTGCAATGGTGCATTCGTGCAAACCGTGATTTCAAGGTCAAGTTCAACTATAGTCTATTTAAATTATTATAGATATACTCTCCAAATGTAATTATAAGAAATTGAATGAAATAATAGATTTTTCCACAAACAACCTATCGATTCGGTTGTATTTTTATTACGGTTGTTTCATTCAGAACTCCGTCATTTATAAATCGATTTGGTAAATTCTTTTTTTTATCTAAATGGTTATTTTTGTATCTGTTTCTGGAATACGAAGTCATATTTGCACGCATAAACATAGATATGACTCTACATGGAACGAAATTTTAAATTATAATATTATTTGTAAAACTATAGGACATCAGCAGATTGTCTTATAATGTGATCAGTTATTCGTTTGTTCACATTATCGTTTAAGTTCTACACAAACAGATTATAAATCTTCTATGCTCTTCTACCTCTGAATCGTAAAGCTGTCAAAAACGTTTCCAGGGGAACCACGAGGAGGTCGACCTGATATTATATTCTTAGTAATTATAAATAATGATAGCATATTGCTAGCAACGCGGCTACTAATCCCCATTACTGGAGGAATTGTTTCCTCTCTACCAGTGTTATCCACCAGCAAATCTAAGCTTGATTTATCTATGGGCCGTAATTGACTGAATCTTGTTCCGTTTTTCAAATAAATTCACAAACATTGGATCAAATGTTGGTGGTAAACAAAATTGGCACTGAAAACAGTACGATTGCATTCTGTCTGCATCGGTGTCATTAAAGAACTGTGTCACATTAATACTCTATATATATCTAGGTTCCGGGTATCACTTGAGGGAAATCACAAATCACTTGACCGGGCATCTCTTGGGTCACTTGGGGGGGAATTGTTAACAATGAAAATTAAGGGCCCATTGCTAGCAATATACCCAACTATTGTTTCTGCCTACCCTAATGGGAGACAGGCGTGACAGATATGTATGTATGTATGTATACCCAACCAGGTCGACCTCCACGTAGTCTCCTTGGAAACTATCGTGCTGAATTCCAAGTGTATTCATCACGATGGGTTAACTGAGCTGTCTTTTCATCCTCACCAATCATCACTCACTGGTGCTCCGCCAGTGTATACCAATAGCGTGGGGTTACTATTCCATCATCGCCCTTTCATTTTTTTTGTCAAAACTTATTTTTTTTTATCAAATAAAATAAAAGTCACATACATATGTATATACTTACATAAATTCATTATTTACATAATTTTTTTTAAAAGCTACATCTGATTTTCTTGCCCGTTCTTCTTGGCTGCAATCAAGTTCCGAATGGGCAGCGGTAATGAAAAAAATCCTTTTTTTTTATAACACAGGGGGCAAACGAGCATGCGGCTCACCTGATGGTAAGTGACTACCGCCGCCCATGATCACCCACAACACTTACGGCATTGCAGGTGTACTGCCGGCCTTTTAAAAAGGAATATGCGCTTTTCTTGAAGGCTATGTTGTCGTATCGGTTCGGAAATACTGCTGCTGGAAGTTGATCCAAAGTTCTAAGTTTACTTAAATAAAAATATTTCTCTCTTACCTCTTTTTACCTCTCAATCTTGTCTTTTATCTCTTTTTACTGTGTATGTCTGTCTCATGTGTATGTTTGTATTGTTATTTGTGTGCTGTAAGTAATGCAAATAAATAAATTATCTATTTATCTTTGTTTTATTTGATTAAACTTGACACCACGCCGTCAGCCAGCAGACTATTTTTGTTCTTTACTATTTCAGCCTGGGTTCATCCATCTAGATTATGTCAGTATAGATAGAGCATCGAGCCTCAAAAACAGGTCAAATTTGTGTCAGCTAATTTGAGAATTAACGGAGGGGAAGGGATTGTCAGTAATGTGGATTATCAGTCCCGTTGCTAACAATATACTCAAACAGGTAGACCTCCCTGTGGTCCCCCTGGAAACCATCGTGCTGAATTCCAAATGTACTCGTCACGATGGGCTAACTGACCTGCCTTTTCTCACGTATCATCCTTCACTGGTGCCCCGTCAGCGTATACCATTAGCGCAGGCGGGGTTACCATTCCATTATCATCAAAAAAAAATTTTTTTTTGAGAATTAGCCGACTCGTTTTTTTGATAGTATTCTAAATACTTACGCACACGATGTATCTTGACGTACCTTTATTTAATTATTTACTTAAATGAAGGGGTGGCCTATTCTATGCCGGGACCTACGCGGCTTACTAGTATTATTTAGATAGGGTTTAGTGATAATTATAACAAAAGCTAGTTTTTTTTTATACCACTGAGGTGGCAAACAAGCATACAGCCCACCTGATGGTAAGCGGTTACCGTAGCCTATGAACGCCTGCAATACCAGAGGTATTACGCACGTGTTGCTGACCCTGAAGAAACCTCTTTACCCCCTTTTGAAGAACCCCATGCTGTAGTCTCTTGAGAAAACCTCGGCAGGGAGCTCATTCCATAATCTGAGTGTTCGTGGGAGAAAACATTTTTGAAACCACATTGTATGCGACCATTTAGGCTGTAGGGTATGAGGGTGAACTCCCTGTCGTTGGCGAGCCGTACGATGTAGTAGTTACCTTTTTTTTTTAATTCTATTTCAATAGACTTATATACAGGGTGGGTAAAATAAATAAAATATTTTATATTAAATATTCATATATTAAAATTAATTGCACCTAGAACATTGACATTACATTTCTCTTATCGCTAAATTTATTGTCAGGAAAAATCAAGGCCTCATACATAGGTACAATATAACGGGTACAATATAAAGCAAAATATACATAACAACATATAACCAAATTATATAAAATAGCTGTTACATTCATTATTTAGCCAGTAAAATACATATTTATTTTTTTTGTAAAATTTATTCCCGAAACAATTTTAAATATTTTTTTTTTTTACATTTTTACCAAATTACAATTAAGTATTTATATATTTACTGTCTAAAAAACATGTAACAAGAGGAGCGTAAAAAAGTCTTTGGCTCAGAACGAAAAAAAAAATATGGAAAAATATTTGATCTCTTAGCACCATCTGGACGACCAAACATAAACGAAAAATATATAAAATTCATTTAAAACATTAAAAAAAACAACAAGAAAAGTATATATTATATACTATAAAGGCTTTTTAAGTGAGCCTCACAAACGTATTGAACACTTTTTGTTTTCTAAGTAGTATAAAGATATCAGAAAAAAAAAACAAAATTTTTTTTTCACAGATTTTATATATACACATCTGTATTGTGGAAACATTAGTCAATTAATAGTTATAGCTTTTCTCTTATTAGTTAAAAAAAAAAATAGTTTCCCTTATAAAAACTCATATATTATTATGTAGTATGATTGGGACGGAGTGGTATCATTTACTTGTACATACTGTTTGGTTTCTACACACCGAAAAAAAAAACTGTTGACAATAATAAAATTTATAATATAATATATGTAAATTATTAAAAATAAATACTTTAATGACTATTGTAATAAAATATAATATATTTTTTTTAATATATAAATGGTGTGTAGTCACCTTGTAGATATTATATATAAAAAAAAATTAGGATCCATTCTGGTAACTATACGTTTCAAGACCCGTTTTGCAATGACTGCCGACCCTATTTGAATGTTACTACGCTAATCTAGGGTTGGCACTCAGCGGTTATGCGTTCTAGTTTATATATAACTGTGTAAAGGCAGCCTGTAACCCGTGCTAGTAGCTACCGTTTCACGAAATTAAGTAGCACTACAAAAAAAAAAAAAACAAATTGAATTATATATTTAATATAAATAACTCCTTGTACTTCCCACACGACAAAAGAATGATTTTATCATATATTTTAATTTAAAACTCGTCACTTAACACTTAACGTAACATAGACAAGAGATATCTAACAAAAATTATTTAAAGGTACATCGTTAGGAATAAAAATTTTAGAAATCAACAATTATATAACCCATAGCAAGACTTAATCGCTCAGCGGTAAAGTTAAAAATAGTAAATATTTACATAATGATTTAAATTATTCAAAAAAAAAAACAAATTTAATAGTACAGTTTAACAAGTAATTAGAATTAAAAAAAAAAGAAACAAAACTGTTAATAAGATGGACAATTTAATTGCTAAAGGTTTTGTAAGTACGCATTATATTTTAATGTAATAACTACCGGTTTAACTTAAGTCTAGTTTAGTCAAGAAATCTCAACTAGTTTCGCGACCATCCGGGACTCTTAGTCGTAATCTTTAGTTATTACATTAAAGTATAAGATAAAACACAGTATCTCTTCTATATTTTTCTAACGAAACATCAATTGTTTTCTGAATTGTTAATAAAATTTTATTATATAATAAAAAGACAAAATAGTAAAAGGTAAAATAGAATAAAGACAGAAGAGTAAATAAGTATTTTACAACTAGAACATTCGATTATTTATAGATTCCAAATTATTTACAACCAATTTATATTACAGTAACATTAAAACTAACTAATTAAACTATATATTACATTAAGACGTTCTTAACTTAAAAGTTGAATGGATACGATAATTTGATTTTTAATGATCAGTCATCCAAATATATATATATATATTTAGATAATAAAAATAACAACGTTTACTATTAAAATGATTCTAGCGACATCTATAATGTTTAATCTGACAAAGATTAATTCACAGATGCATCGCATGATGTTTCTCACCTATATATAGCCAATGATGGAATCAAGAAATCAAACAGAGATCACAATTCGAACACAGAGTTAATGATTGATAAATTTGACCTTGACAGATGTCACATTTGGTGACCTTGATGAAGTAGCGGTTCGATACAATCGATACAAATCATGAGTATATTGGTAGATAGTTTTTTTTTTTTTAACTTAAGAATTTTAAGAAAGATTTTAAAACAATTTAAAAATAAATCGAAATTTATTTTGTGGTCAAGATGCAATCTTCATTTGTTCACATTTCTTGACTAAGACACAACAATGAATTAAAAAAAAATCATGACTGTCCAATAAAAATTAATCTACAGCAGCCTTCGCAAATAAAATCAGACTTTCCCGATGTCGTTTTAAAGAACATTTTTGAGGCTCAATGGCAGTGATTTTGTGAGCGTGCGCAAATCCTTGCCACATTATTTGAGATCACTACTAGGTAGCTAGGATTCGCCATTGTCAGAATATGTTTACAATCAAAAGATTAAATAATAACTAATTGAGAAACGGCACTTCTTACAATAAGTAATGGACCGTAAACGATCCGCGCGCGCGTCAAAAAATGACAAAGAAGTTGCGTTTCTGCGTCATTTTTTAATCTTTTGCAACTACCTTATAAACTATGCTATCCTTGTATATTTATATAAAAAGTAAACAGTAAAAATCACAAAGTTACAATTCGCTAGCTAAAGTTTTCCAAAAAGGAGTTTCACTTATAAATAGTAAGTTTCATCATGCACATGTTATGTTATCACACGGACGCTAACGCTACGTAACGCTCCGCTGTCTTAGTTCCATCTGTAACAAGAGAGAAAAAAAAATTAAAAAAAAAGAACCTAATCTGTCTTTATTACAAAATCCCTCGTTTTTTTATTTTTCTTAAGTATAGTATAATCTCACTAATAAAGAACACTATTCACTTAGGAGAATGAAAGCAGGTTCGTGAAGAATTTATCAAGATCTAGCTGTATTCCGCGGCTGTGCTTGCATGAATCACTATTTAAAGCATTTTATTTAATAAGTTAGGATATAACCTAACCGTGTACCGCCTTTTATTTAAATCAGTTCAGTAGTTTTTGCTTAAAAAATTAACAAATATCCATCCATAACTACAAACTTTTGTATTTATAATATTAATAGGATTGACTACGTTGGTGAAATGTATGGGGAATCGCGTGGTGGTCGACCTGATATGACTTATTACTAACAATATAGTTGCTAGGTTCCATTACTAAGAATCCTTTCCTCCCGCCATGACATAACATTTTACAATGACATTAGTTCTCTATGAGTACCCATGGAGAATGGAACGGTGAAAATAAAATCAGGTGAGTTTTTTTTAAATGGATAATAATGGAATGGTGACCCGGCCTGCGCTAACAGTATACACTGGCCAGTGAGAAATGATAGGTGAGAATGAAAAAGGAGGTTAGTTAATCCATTGGGATGAATTCACTTGGAACTGGACACCATAGCGAAGAGGTCAAACTGGCCTGCCAGGATTTTCGTTTTATGGACAAAAAGTGAGATCATGCACATACTAATGATATAAATGTAATGGTAGGATAGATACCATAATAATAATATATTGTGTGTTGTCACCAGGGCCGTATCTAGACCCAATTTTAAGGCAGGGCAAAAGAACTGTTTGGTAGGGCAGAAGTCAAATTAAACTCGAAAAATCGAATCTATATTTCTTGGGTCTTTCATTTTAAAGTATTGCTAACAATGGGGCTACTAATCCCTATTACTAACAATCCCTTCTCCCCCCAAATAGGCCAGTTGGTCCACGACGAATTCACCATCTATAAACCACGACAGTTGCTAGTAGCTAGCATACATTTCTTTCTTACTGTACTGGGTTGACTGGAAGAGATCTCTGTCAGAGATAAGTCCACCCTTGCTCACAACATTTATAAATGAATTATTTTATATGTAACTTACAAGTGCAATAAAGAATATATATAGATTGGATATACCGTTCTCTTCTAACAGTCCTCTATGCCTATATCAAACGTTATTTACCATTTACTAACTAGTTCAAATTACATAAGAGACCACAGAGCCCATCTATGCTATAACCAAAATGCAACGGGGCAAAGCGATTTGCCTTCTAAAAATTCATGGTCCACCACAAAAGTGTGCTACTTTGAGAGACGTTACGTCACCAGCGCGGAAGCAGCGCGGCCGACTTTTACTATGTTGCATAACGCCAAAATCTGTTTGCGTAACGCTCCACAGACCTAATGTCCCACTGACGGCGTTACGTCACCATTATAATAATTTTGACGGTTGAAGTTGAATGTTATAGAAAGTGGGACGTGTGAAATGTCAATGCATCTAATTGATCTATACGCACAAAGTTCGAGTTCACGTGATGATCTCGCGGTTGATAAGCTGTCAATCAGGACGAGAGAATGCCCTTAGGATAGAAAAATAGCGATTACAATGGCCTTAAAAAGTTTTAAAAATAAAAAAAAACAAAATTAACCGAGTCATAATGCCTTGAATGTTTTAAAATAGGTGTATTCTTAATTTGATTAGTACTGCACCTGTGCTGAAATGTGTAGATGGTGCAAGTACTTTAATTGATTTTATTTATTTTTTATTTTATTTATTAGGCGCACATAACAGAAGTTTACAAATAAAAACTTAAATTATAATATGCAAGTACATAATGGGTATCAGGTAAACTTGCCACAATATGTGCACACAGCATGATCCAATAATAAATGCGACTGCAACAAAGCCATTAGGTTGCAACTATTATATTATATTACTACTATATATATATATTTATATGGCTCTATCACCTTACCCCGGTTACGCACGAGTACAAATTAGAATAAATTGTATATTCGTAAAAAAATATCTAACTAATAGTAAAACTTCTGTCAAAAGTCATTGCGTGGTTTAGAAAAAATAAGAGAAACAGCCAGTTTAATTTGTTACACCGAGCAAATTTTATTCCGCAAAAAGCGGCCTCTATCATAAACGCATCCACTGATAAACGACGAGCTGTTTCGTAAACTCGTCGCGCTGAAATCAAGTATATTTTGAACCTGGGACGAGTAAACAAAACGTAGGTAAATTCCGATATGATTCTAATATACCTAAATGATTTTAAAATTGTATGTTTACATCTTTACCTCAACCGTTCTCTTATATTATATTATTAGTATTTACCCGCGGCTTCGTCTGCGCGATCTAAATGTATTGAAAGACGACGATGAAATAGTCTCTGTAATTCTCCATCCCAAACACTATGCGTGTACTAAATTTTAGGATCATTGGTTGAGCTATTAAAACACCAAAAGGTAAAAAACTGACAAACTCACTTTCAGAACAAGATTGGTAAAGATACCACATATACCAGAAGTGTTTTCCTCTATCCCCCTCATTTCTCTCTATCTTTACGATCTGTCCGCGATCCCAGCTTCCTCAGCCACTGCAGTATCTGACTAGTATCCCCTCCACAAATGCAGTGTCCCCTTTTCTCTTCTCCTCATAAATCCTTCATTCCTTTTTTACCAACATCATTAATGCACTCTTTATATATGTTCTTTATTGCACTTAAACAATACATGCGACGATTAGTTTAACAACTTGTTAGCAAGTGAGGGCTTATCTCTGAAAGAGATCTCTTCCAGCCAACCCAGTGCAGTTAGAGAGAAAATAATTTAATTTGGGTAATCCAGTGCAGGAAAGGTACCGGTGAAAATAATGCAAATACAACAAACACAAATTGTGAATAAATATATAAATAAGTAAGTAAATAGATAAATATATACATATGTATAAGTGCATAGAATTATCATGTATTCGTACAATTGGTTAAAAGATGTGATTTCAGCCTTCTCTTGAAGGAAGTAATGGAAGGACTATCCCGTATGTCAGCTCTTTCTAGTTCTTTTGAATCCGGATGTATGTATATATTATACAAAAACATATAAAAGGCTTCAATAAGACCAATACTAGTCAAAACAATTGTTTTTAGAAATTTTGTCTATCTATCCGCCTGCCTACCTATTTATTTCGGCATCACGCAAAAACTAAACCGAATCGAGAACCCCCTCTTTATGAAGTTGGTTGAAAATGGTGAATGACGTTGATAGATAGGAATGGCACCATGAATATCACATAATACACAATAACATGGGGTTCTTGAAAGGTGTAAAAAGGTTTCTTCAGGATCAGCAACGCGCGCGTAACGCCCTTGCTATTGCAGGCGGTCATAGGTTACGATAACCGCTTACCATCAGTTGGGCCGTATGCTTGTTTGCCACCTTAATGGAGAAGAAGAAGAAAAATAAAATAACATGTTAACCTACATAGTAAATTTACTGCTATTTCCTACCCTCAAAATTAAAGGACAACCATCAATCTGCTGCCAAGCAACTGCAGTCTACATAACTGGTTTTAAACCGATGTAGAATTTCAGCAATTTATGATTTTGATATACAAAATTACAGTTACCAGAGGGAGACTTTGTACAAAAGTCGATTGCTTGGGCACCTCTGTCCCATTCGTGTTTCTACCGTGAAGCAGTTGTGTTTGCATGGCTGTTTCGGTTTGAAGGGTGGGATATGGCGTGAATTTACTGGATACAGAGGAATAACATCTGAATCCTCAGGAATGGCAACGCATGAGGGGTATCATGGGCGAAACAGTATACTCTGTTATGTCCACGGTACTGCTCATGTCTATAGGCGACGGTTACCACTTTCCATCAGGTGGACCGTCAGCTTGTTTGCCATTCTAAGTTGGATAAAAAAAAAGTTTGAAACGTTAAAATAAAAACAAAAATAATAATACATAAATATTATTATTCATAGAACAATTGGCCATACAGTCCCGGCATAGATTAGACATCCTTTCCCTTAGTCGAAGAGGCGACTAAGGGAGGGCGAAAGTTGAGAGCAGCGTCATTTTTAAAACCTGTCTAAAGCCTAACTGCGGTTGCCAATTCGCTCACCAAGCATGGCAACTACTGGCAAACCCCCTAAGTTATTAAGGCTTATGTTCATCAGTGAACAATTAAAGGCTGATATAATGATGATGATGATGATGATGAATAAAATAATGGTTGAAAAACTATGTATGTGTGTGTGTGTGTTTATATTTTTTATGTAAATTATTACAGTAGGTAGTACACAAATCGTCATACTCGTAGAATACTGACGGATCCTTTATATGTAATATTTGTCAGATCCGTCAGTATTCTACGACTGTGACGAAATGCAAATCGAATATGGTCAGCTAGTATAAAATAAATTTATTTATTGACCATTCGATTGTCTTGCAAAATCATATTTGCATAATTACTTCACGGAAATATTATATATCTAAATATAGTCGCGCATATATGCCATACAAATTGCATATTGTATTTCAACATTTTAATGGAAATATTGTTGATTGTATAATATGACAATTGCAAATTAGAAAATTCTTGTAATAATTATGTTTGATAAAAAAAAAAAAAAACTTGCAACTAACTACTAAGGGACGTGCTAAAAATACCGTCGAATTAAAACTCCTTTCCAACTGACTTCAAACAGAATGAGGTTCTCGATTCGATTGTATTTCTTTTTTTTTATGTTTGTTACCTCATAACTCTGTCAGTCTTAAACCAATTTAGAATTTATTTTTTTATCTAAAACGATATACTTACAGATTGGTCTCGTAGATTTTTTTTCAAAAATCGTTCTAGAAGTTTAGTTTTAAAATCGAAATATCTCTGGTTTTGTCACAATTGAAGTCACTTTTTTTGGTAGGACACAATCCTTAATTATTAA